GTTTCTCGTACATGTTGGATAACGCCTTGAGCAGTCCAAACGTTGTTTTCTCGTTGACGATGTTGTAAGCAATGTTTTTCGCCAACGACAACCTCACCACACCAAGAGCCTGTCGATCCAGCAAGTTCCACTTCGCCTCCGCCATTGATTCTGGTTTGTTCTCAGACAAGGGTAGATGAAGCTTCTTCTGGCAGAGATAATCCTCGATTTGCATCTTCCAGAAAACAAAATCTTGACCATCAAATTTATCGATCTTAACCTTCCCTTCATCAACCATAGCACTGATACCACTTGTTACGATTTAGGTTAAGTAAACGATAAATTAAAGAGCAAGAACACAAGAATTTACGTGGTTCACACAATCGGGTGATTGTGATAGTCCACGACGAACGAGAGAGAGCTGTGTATTATTATGTCGGCGTCAAGAGGTATTACACGTACAAAGATGTGTTTAAATAGGTTTAAGAAAACCCTAAACAAGGATTAGAGCCGCAGGCCCAAAATTAAGCCCGTAATTAAAAAATTACTCCGCAGACCCGGTCGGGTCTCCTCTTGTACCCGATCGGGTGTCTCCTCAAAAGGCATACCCGAGTCAAAACCAGGACGGGTATCCTAAACAGAAGCCAAAACCTTCCGCGGACCCGGTCGGGTAAGCCTCCTTACCCGGTCGGGTTTCCAATCCAGAGAGTTGCCAGGCCAAAAACTGCCTCATACCCGATCGGGTGAATGACCCTACCACAATCGTATTATTAATTACGAATCTTCAACAGCTATATTATTCAATCGTATCTTTTCTAGTTGGCTTACACCACAATTCGTAGGGGAACTAACATATTCTGCACAATCTAACAAGAAACGGTTATCATAGCTGGCCAATAAATGAGCAACATGTTTTGCATATCGTTTACAGAAAATAACTCTTAAACTATAGTTTTTGCTAATTAAGTGATGAATATCATTAATGAATAACTGAAAGAGCTCCAATACCTTTTTGCGACTAACTGAACAACCTATCTAATACTCATAGCTTTAGCCTTCAGACTCTAATACCCGCATAAATTGTCTTTCGGACCTTCACTATCTCGAACCATCCATCTCACCCACACCCTTTCTCTTGTCATTAACTTTTACCCACTCGGATTAGGTTTCCATGTACACTCATTCCTTCAGCTAGCTTCCATAAGCTCCAACGGGTTACAAATAGCTCTACAACACTCCTCTTCATTTAGATTATCAAAAATGAATTTAATACATTCAACTAAACTACCGATTGAATGTACAAAGTGTAAACCGTCTGCCCAAATATTGTTGCCGCACTCCCCTTAGCCTTCGTGCAGAACACAAACAAGTGATCACAAGTCTTGTCTCCTACACCACAAACTTTGCCCAAGCATTAGCCAACACCCAGATATCAAATTTATGATGACATTGATATTTAGTTTGAACTTATTTTGAATTTTACGATATTATTATGATGACATTGATATTTATTTCGTGAAATAATTGCTCAGGGATGGCCTTGCTGACGAGGTTGCGGTTTGACTTGGTTCTTCCGATGATCAGTGGTTAGCTGTGCTTGGTAGCGACGAAGGGTGCTAACTTGATTGTTCTAGCTCTCAATGAAAGCACCAAATGATAGAGTATATATCTAGAGAGAAGTGAGAGCTAGAGAGAGAAGTGCAAGTAAATGCTTCAATAGAATGATTTTGTAACCCCCATAACTACCTCCAGAGGAAGTATTTATAGGAAAAATACGGGCTGGGCTCCCAAGCCTTGGGCTTGGGAGGCCCATTTACAACTGGACCGCTATTGGATCGAATACAAAGTAAATGATGGGATATGTAAATGAATAAGTGTAAAGCCTAGTTCTGCGAGACTTCCGTGGCCGACGAGGGCACGGCCGACGAGGACACCCTGGTTCCCTAGCTTCGGGATCATATTCTGAGTTGGTCCCTCTTCGGCTGACGAGGGGCCTGTGGCCGACGAGGGCACTGTGCAGTGGCTTGTACTTTCTGTTCTTCTGAGTATGTGGGTCCTGGGGCCTGGACCCATATACTCCATCAGGAGTCCCCCACTCTCTAAGCTGAGATGCAGACGAAGTGAAGAAGAGTGGAATTCTGTGCTTGATGCTCTTGGCCGATGTGGGACCACGTTGGCCATTCCCTGTCGTGGCGTTTGGTGGCCCTGTTCTGAGCTTGGCCGTTACCTTCCCTTTGGGGTGGACGATGAGCGTTCCGGTCATGGGGGCCGATGAAGACATTCTTTCCTTCTCACGACCTTCGGTGGCTGGATTTTGTTTTTGGGTCGAGGAGGCCACTGCGGTTGCGTTCTTGCTTGAAGACGACGAGCCTCCCTCATCTTGAGTGTCCGTTAAGGGTGTTGTTCACTCCTTCTGACCGTTGGTTAAAGTTCGTGTTGTTGGCCGAGGAGGCCATTGGGGCTGTCTTTTGGTTGGACGATGAGCGTCCTTTCTTGGTGGGAAAGATGAGCGCCATTTGTCACGAATGGCCGATGAATGGTCGTGCCCACTCGTGACAGTTGATGGCTGCTCTTCGCTCTTTGGGGCCGAGGAGGCCCTTGTGGTTGTCTCCTGTCCGAGGATGATGAGTGTTCTTTTGTTCCCAGGTTGCCGGTGAAAGTGCTGTGTGGTTTTTGGCCGAAGCGGTGTTGTCCGTAGTCTGGCGTTCACGCTTTTGAGGACGATGACGGCAGTGATCAGTGATCTGGGAGGGGATTCTTTGTTCGCTAGCTTTGCTGCGGCCGATGGTGCACCACGATGTCATGGACGTTGTGATGCATGTCTAATGTTGTAGTTGTGGACTTAGTATATTTTTGGATTTCTTTGATTTTGTCCTGATTTGCAAAGGCCGGTGTAGTCCCCCAGTCCCCCACTGCTTCAGGCCGAAGAGTAGGTGAGGGGTGAAGGAGTAAAGGATGTACCCAGGCCGAAGCGGACTCTTGTATACCCCTGAATCCAATTCCTTGGCGATTTCCTGGTCAAGGTAACCCTGTGGGAGAACCCTTGGATGCAGGTCACTTTCAAGAAATTATCATCAGGGGTTTGATACAGAGCCGATGGCGTGGCCGTTGATAAGGCCATGCAATTGACATTCTATTCAAGCCGATATGGACATGCCTTGAGATGTGGCCTATCCATTTGGAGTATCTCTGTGTTGAGGCCGATGCGGGCACGCTTTCATAGTGTGGCCGTTGAGTGGTTGGCCTGTTGGTGGTGAGCTGGTGTTGTGGAAGTGGGACTGACCCGACTTCTAAACCGGTGCTCAGCCCAATGGGCCTTGAGGGTGGTGGCCGTTCATGTGGCCAATGGGAGGTTGCCACGTGTAGTGACCGTTGGGGGGGAGGTCTATAAATACCCCCCTCCTCCGAAGAGGTTTCCTCATTGCGTTCCTGAGATAACGAAGTGCTGCTGAATTTTCTAGAGAGATAAAGTTCTTGCAAGTGTTCTTCGTGTTCATCCAAGCTTCAAAGGTTAGTTCATCGAAACTTCCCTCTGTAATTTGCCAATTTCGCTTCCTAGGCCATTGATCCCTTGTTAGTGGAGATAGACTCTTAGATCCAAAGTAGAAATATCTAGGCTCTAGTTAACTCTTATAATGAAGCCTTTGGACGATGAGTACTACCCGTACGACGATGAACCCTCTGCTAGGTCCCTTGATTACCGGGTGGTAGAGGAGTGTTGTGAGGAGATAGAGGAGTTGAGCTCCTTCAAGTCCGGGGAGGGGGAAGGTGAGGACGAAGAGGCCGCCTCGTCGTCTGATGGTGAAGAAATAGGGGCTTCACGTGCTGTGGACGGAGCGTCTACATCGGCTGCGATCCCCTGCCCGAAGCCGGTTTCTGCTGTGAAGGGAGCTACTCCGATGAGAAGGCGGCGGCCGAAGAGGGGTCCAGGTTTCTCTTACCTGGATCTCACCAATCTGTATCTGATTAAGCCGGAGAGTAGTGCGGCCGACTACCTGGAGGCTCATATGTACGTGGGGCCGTATGGGCGGGTTAGGGCACCCAAGCCGACGGATCACGTTTTGAATCCACCTCCGGGGTATTTTGGAGTATACCCCATGAGCTTCGCAAAGGGACTTAGGTTTCCCCTCACCCCTTCATCACGGAGTATCTGGATATGGTGGGTCTTCCTCCAGCCTTGCTGACTCCCAACAGCTACTCGCTCATCGTCGGCTTTCTTCTCCGCTGCGATGAGCTAGATTTTAGGCCGACAACGACACTGTTTATGAACCTGTACCAGATTGGCCGAGGAAGCCACAAAAACTGTGTTGGCTACGCCAATCTTCAGCAGCTGCCGAAGAAGAGGAGTTTCACTGATCTCCCTTCGTCTATTCACGGATGGAAGAGCAAGTTCGTCTTCGTGTCCTTGGGTGAGGACGGTACGGAGTTTCCTTCGGTTGGTCACGACGGTAAGTTCACCCTGCATGACGTGCCGAAGAGCAGTATTCTGGACGCACAGGTGGCGGCGTTTCTGAAAGGTGGGCCGAGGAGCGTGAAACATTATATCACAGAATACAAAATGACCGCCCTCGGCTTCATGAGGTACCATGTTTATGATGACAAGGAAAGTGATCTCGAGTTATGGCCGAAGATGACCACCACTTTTGAGGAGGCCGACGGCCCGGATATGGGCCTTCCTGCTGATGCCGATGGTAATACCTTCCCTGGCGACTTCGTCTATGTTTTCTTTTATGTTTTGCTAACTGTTTGTTTTCTATGTTGTGCAGACTTTGCTATGGATCGCAGATCCGTCATGGCCCTAGCAAAAGCTAAGGCGAAAGAGGAAATGGCCGCAAAGGAGGCTGCAAAGGTGGCCGCTGCGAGCGGCGCTCAACCCAATTCTGATGCGACGAAGAAACCGTCTACCCAGCCGAAGAAGAAGCGGCCTGCTGATGATGGCCAGAAAAAGCTTACTGAGGCCGGCATGCAAGCCAAGAAGTTGAGGAGGGCTTCCCCTTCGGACGATGCTGGTGCCGTGGGTGTGGCCATGCCGGATGATGATGCCGGGGGTTCTAGCACCGTTGCCGTTGTGGATGCGGTTTCGGTTCCTTCCTCAACGATCCTATCTCAGCCGCCGCCTACCGGCCAAGAGCCCCGGAAGCAAAGGGCCGACAAGGAGCTAGCCGGCGGGACTTACAAGCTCGAGATCGAGTTTCCTGTGAAGGGTGGCGTCTTTAATGACGCCGTTGACGGCCATGAAGTCCTGGCCCAGGCTGTCCCAGTCGAGGATCGGGCTTATCTGAAGAAGCTGGGTGCCGTCAGGATTTACGATGACGGGATGGACCTCATCGTCCAAGTAAGTTCCCCATATCTTACGTCTTTTGTGTCATGGGTTTTGCATCGTCCTAATTTGTTCATTTCTCCTTTTTGTTTTGTTGCAGGGTGCTCTCATGCTGATGGAGAGCCACAAACGGCAGAAGCAGGATATTGCCCCGCTGAGGGAAGCCGAGAAGAAAGCCGCTTTGGCTGAGGAGGCCATGGCCTGCCTGGACCGGCTTCGGGAGGAAGTGAAGGCCCTCCAGAAGGGTGTTGATGAGGCCGATGTGGCCTACCGGCAGGTAGCGGCTGACCGGGATGACGCTCTGAGGGTTAAAGATGAAGCCCTTCGAAGCCATGATGAGGCCCTGCTTCGGGCCGAAGACGCCGCCAGGGCTCAGGCTGATTCTGAGAGGGCCGCTGAGAAGGCCGTTGATGGCGCCATCGAGAGGTTCCTGGCCGATGGCTGGAAGGCCGATGACCACCGGGCCTGGTGCTACGAAGTCGTGGCGGACCGGCTCAAAGATTGGGGCCGGAACTGCCCTGCTTGCCAAGCATACTTTGCTCGGGAGATGGCCGTCTATTACGATATGGGCTAGCAGAGGATGCAGCGGCTACTATACCGGAGGCTGCACTGGGCGTTCAAGAAGCTGAAGTTCACCAAGAAGTGGGCTAAGAAGAACTTGAAGCTTCCCCGGCTGATGAAGGATCCTGAGGCCGAAGCGAAGCTCCCCCCATATGAGAGGCAAGATCCAGTGCTCAGCTCTTTCATTGGTTCGCCCGTCTATTCCGACGATGACGCTATGACCGATACTGCCATCTCCTCAGTAGGCGAGGCCGGTGAGGGTGCCAGGACGGAGGAGGTCGAAGCGGAGCGAGTGGCCGATGAGACCGTTCCCGAGAGTTGATCGGCTGCATAATCTTTTTGTATTTTAGTTAGGCTGTTGTAACGCCCCTTTTGTAATGGCCGTTGAGCCCTCCTCGTGTAACAACTTATTATTAATGAAGTATGCTTTTGCCTCATCGTGTCTGTTCGTCGTCTTGTTCTCCCTTTACTTCTGTTTTCAAGTTTTTCAAAATTTGTCTAAGTGTTTGGATTGGGACTTAGGTAATTTTCTAAATATCAAGGCTTCAAGTGAGTGGGTGTTGACGTCGTCTTGGTATTACGCCCCCTTTCACTTTTGCCCGAAACTTTGGAAAATTTCCCAAGTGTTGAACCAAATACCACACGTGGCGATCCCGTCGGCCCGGTGTCTTTTTCGGTAGTCTAAACAGGGAGTCATATCTGATTTCTGTAATCGTGGCCGATAAGGGTACCTGAACTTTGCCGTCTGAGTGTGATGGCCGAAATGCTCCCCCATGGGACTTGACCTTTGGATTGCAGGGACTGCTTGTCCCCTTCGGCTTTAAATGTTTTTGTTTCTGGCCTTAGTTATTCCAACTTTGAAATTTGTCTAAGTGTCAAACCAAAACATGGATAATTACCGGCCATTGGCGAGGCCGAGACGGGCACCTACAAATGTTTGAATGCCCGCTTCATCTTGAGACTGTTCCTTCGTTATTAAATAGTTTGGAGATTGCCCCAAATGTTAGGCCATGCAGTTTTCTCTGTTTAGTGTCGTCGTCGGCCAAGTTGGGCGGTATGGCTGATGGAGGTACCCGGGTGTTTTGCCTCTTCCTTTGCATTTGCTTTCTTCACAATTTTCTCTAAGTGTTGGAATTCACTCAGGGAACTTTTTTCAGAAATTTTCTCTAAGTGTTTGGGAATCACTTAGGTAATTTTCTTCAGAAATTTTCGGCTTAGGAAACCGCCTAGATCTTAGCACCCTTAACGGCCGGCAAAAATGTTGTGGCCGATACGGGTTGCCACCAGTGTGTTCAATTTCCTTACGGGTGTTTTAGTGCCCGTTTCGTCCAAGACCTCCTTTCCGGTGTTCCACTCCAGGATTGTGTTAAGTGTCAAGACAGGGTTCTTGGCTTTTATGCCAAGTGTTGGAACTTCAGTTGGTTATGGCCGATGAAGGTTACCACCCTTGTTTCACCCAACCACTGGTTAGGATTTTATGGGCGCATGCTCCATCATTGACACTTTCGTCGTAGCGGGTGGCCGCTTCGTCCGCGTTGCCCGTTGGTAGTGTTACCTTTGTATTCAACTGATATGTACTTGGCCAAATGTGTGGCTGATTTGTGGGGATTTATTTTTACTGCTCGAGGCCGGCAAGTGCGCGCAGTCCTCAACTTCCCTCTTTTTTTTTTCGTTCCCTATTTCGGGGAGTGTCCTTCTTTCAGGCTTCAGCCGAAGGGGTCGATAGTCCTCCGGCCGGTTTGGACTTCGTTTATAACGTCCATGATCTCAGGGGGGGTCCCGTCGCCTATTTATGACGCGGGCTAGACTTTTGGTTGGTTTCCAACGGCTGACGTTGCCCAACCCTGAGTTTGGGGATTTTGTCACCTCGGCCATGATTTCAGGCCTGTCGTCCTGCGATCAGGCGCGTGGACGACGCGATGAACTTCCCGTTTCAAGACGCGGGTCGTTTGCGGGCCCATCGTCATGGGGACGTCGTCGGCCCTGCCTGAGCGTTTCGCTCTAAGGGGCCGGTACGATGTGCTCTTTCAGCTGGGCCTAAACCTTTCGCTGATACAAAATACAATGGGGCATACCTGAGCTTTTCGCTCTAAGGTTACGGATGCGAAGCGCCACATCGGCCATGCCTGAGCCTTTCGCTCTAAGGTGGCTGATGAGGGCGCCCGTTAATGTGCTACTTAAATTCCAAGAAATCAAAGGAAACATGATTTTCATTCATAAGTGGCTCAAGGCCGAGGGTGATGTTCATTCAATAACCCGTTAAGGGATGAGGGCTCTGCCGGCTGCACCTCCTTCGGATTATTGATAAAACTTCACCAAATGGTGTACATTCCACGTTCGTGGTACATTGGCCCCGTTTGGGCGTTTAAGCTTGTAGGTGCCGGGTTTCACCACGGCACTGACGATGTAGGGACCTTCATACTTCAAGGCTAGCTTGCCTCCTTCCGTCGGCTGACTTGCTTCCCTTCGGCGGAGGACGTAGTCCCCCACTTGGAATTCTCGGGAACGTACCTTGGCGTCATAGTATGATTTCACTTGACGCCGGTAGTTCTCTGCTCGGATGAATGCCTGTTCACGTCTTTCATCGACCAATTGGAGGTCGATTTTCATGTTTTCCTCGTTGACCTCAGGGTCATACTGCTCCACCCGTCGGCTGGGAATGGTGACTTCTGTGGGTGTCTTTGCTTCAAAGCCATAGCACAGGGCAAAAGGTGTTTCACCCGTTGCCTTCCTCGGCGTAGTGCGATAGCACCACAGGATGTTGGGGAGCTCGTCGACCCAACTCCCTCCTGCGTCCTGTAGGTTCTTCTTCAGCCCCTCCATTATAGTTCTGTTGGCGTTCTCAACCTGCCCGTTGCCTTGAGGGTAGGCAACGGAGGAGAAACGGTGCTTTATTCCCCACTCTCGAAGGAGCTCCTGAAAGGGCGCCGCTTCGAACTGGGTGCCGTTGTCGGATATGATCTCTTGAGGGACACCAAAGCGGGTGAGGATGTTCTTGTGGACGAACTTCTGACACCTGGCCCCCGTGATGCTGGCCAAAGGTTCCGCTTCGACCCACTTGGTGAAGTAGTCGACCACGACGATGATGTAGCGGTTGTTGCCAGCAGCTCTGGGTAGAGGGCCGACCAGGTCAATCCCCCAACTCGAAAATGGAATGGCAGTGCTGACGGGGGCGTAGTTGACGGCTGGCCGACCAGGGGCCTTCGGGAGCACTTGGCACGTGGTACATTTCCTGGCCAATTCTACACAATCCTGCGCCATCGTCGGCCAGAAAAAGCCCTGGACGACGAGACGCCGAGACATACTGAAAGGGCCCTGGTGTGAAGAGCAAACACCACAGTGAACTTCTTCCATGGCCACATCGGCCTCGTCTTGGTGCAGGCATCGAAGGAGAGTTCCATTGTAGAATCGTTTGTAGAGTTTGCCATCTTCAATAGTGTAGCTCCCCCGTCATGATGAAAGTGGCGATGTCGGAGATCCAGTCCTCCGGTCGTTGTTGGATGCACAAGATGGGGCTGGCATGGATGTTGGACATGCTCAGCTCCTCGATCTTGGCTAGCTTGGAGATGTGCTCCGGAGTATCCGAGCTAAGCTTGGAGAGGATGTCGGCCTCGGCGTTCTCGGCCCTTGGGATCTGGGTGATCTCGTAGGTTTCGAACGCCTTTAGCAACTCTTCTGCCGCCTGCTTGTATTGCTTCATCCGGCCTTCCTTTGCTTCGTACGTACCCTCAACCTGGTCCACTACCAGTTTGGAGTCGCACCTGATTTTGATGTGCCTGGCTCTGAGGCCGACGGCGAGTCTGAGGCCGCTGAGGAGGGCCTCATACTCGGCTTCATTGTTAGATACCCTGAAGTTGAAGCGGATGGCGTAGTAGGCTCTGAATCCTTCAGGGGATATGAGGATGACGCCGCCCCCACATGATTTCGCGGCCGATGAGCCGTCGGTGAAGAGGATCCATGTGTCATCCGGCTCTGGCCCGGAGGTGGTAGCGGTTGCCTCCCTTGCCGTGCATTCGGTTACGAAATCGGCCAAGGCTTGCCCTTTGATAGATGGCCTTGGCTTGATCTCAATCTGAAATTGGTTGAGGAAGATCGCCCATTTCACCATCCTTGAGGAGCTAGTGGGGCTCCTCATGAGTGCGCCAAGGGGCTGCTGGGTCAGTACGTGGACGACATGGGCCTGGAAGTAGTGCCCTAGCCTTTTCACCGTATGGACGATGGCTAGCACCGTCTTCTCAATGGGGGAGTACCTGAGCTTGGCCTCCCTAAGTGTCTTGCTGATGTAGAAAATGGCCTTCTGCACCCCTTCGTCCTCACGGATGAGCACGGAGCTGATGGCCGACGTGCTCACCCCCAAGTACAAAAAGAGGGTTTCGCCGGATTTGGGCTTGGAGAGCACTGGTGGGGACGATAGGTACCTCTTCAGCTCTTCGAATGCTTCCTGGCACTCCGTCGTCCACTTGAAGCTATTTGCTTTGCGCATGATTTGGAAGAAAGGGAGTGCCCTCTCGGCTGACTTGGAGAGGAAGCGGTTCAGGGCCGCCAGGCGCCCCATCAGCCGCTGTACCTCCTTGACGTTGCGGGGCGGCTCCATGTGGATGATAGCCTGTATCTTTTCTGGGTTTATTTCGATGCCTCTCCGGCTGACCATGTAGCCGAGGAATTTACCGCCTTGGACGCCAAAGGCGCACTTCTTGGGATTGAGGCGGAGTTTGAACTCCTTCATGATTTCAAAAATTTCCCGGAGGTCGTCAGCGTGTGTGGTGTCTTGCTTGCTCTTGATGATCATGTCATCGACGTATGCCTCCATCGTCTGGCCGAGGACTGCTCTGAAGATCTTGGCCACCATCCTGGTATAGGTGG